CAACACATGCATTATGGTTGAGAAATTTTGTCAAAGGTTTAAGAGTTGTCTATAATATAGAGAAGCTTTTGAAGATTTATTGCAACAATTCAGCTGCAATTTTCTTTTCAAGAAATAACAAAAGTGGAAGTCGAAGCAAAACATATTGAAATAAAGTATCTAGTTTTTAGAGATCATATAAAGGAAAATGAAGTGGTCATTGAGCATATCAAGACAAATCTCATGATTGCAGATCCCATGACTAAGGGCTTGCCGATTAAAGTTTATAAAGTTCAAGTTGATAATATGAGACTTGCGTGCTCAATATGATACTCTGATGTTTGGTTTTTAAGATTGTTGCTTTTGTATTTGAAATAATGTTACTAGTGTACTTAAAAAGTTCGTAATTTGGATATCCATTGTGGTAATTAAAGTTTGGACCCTGAATGACTTATAGGAAGTTTATTCATAAAGTAAGTACTCTATAGAAGTGATCATACTTTTAATACATGGAAGGAAATGTTTGATTATCAAAACATGACCGCCATGATTTAAGTATTGTGAAATTCTACTTGAGTAAGTTATTGGCAGTTTCAACATATGGCCATATATTAAGTACCCACTTTAAGGTTTATCATTGAACATGTAGTCCAAATGGAGAAAACGTAACAGTTTAATGATTTGGCCCACATGTTTAATTATTTGATTTGAACTTTAAATTTAAGTGGGTTAATTAACCGCCTTGTTTAACTACCCACTTCTATGATGATGGGAAGTGGTGTAATGGTGCCTATATATGGATGCCAAAGGGTCCCTAGCCAAACCCATAATAATATTCCTGCAGTATTCTCTCTCTCTAAAGAAAGTCTTGTGTTTTATTCCATCAAGTTAAAATGAATTATCAAGTGGGTTTTGGCTAGAAGATTCGTTGGTGTTTGAAATTCTGTAGCAGATTTTATTCTTATCTTGAATAATGTGGCTGGAGGTATGTCTCAAATTTCTTACATGTTTAGCTCTTGTCTGAGTAACAGTCAAAGAATGGATGGCAAAAGCTGCTCCATGATATAAAACAAATTTTATGAATATTTCGGAATATTTTACATATTCATCAAAAGGCAAATGTGAGACTATGTTGTAGCTGTACTATAATCACTTCTTCAGGAGCACACATCAATAAGCTGTGTATATGCTGAGCATGACAATTTACTTGTATTCATTTCATTCTAAAATGTAATAATAGTACTCTTTTTATACAAACCGTCATACAACAAAGCAAGGTTATTCTAAACAAACGTTGTATTTCTTAATAGAGTGAAGAATTAAAAAAGGAGGGGTGCAAGGAAATAACTCGACAGTCACCATCGAGAAAGAAAATCACGAGGTCATGCAGCAGCCAGATTTTCTTGCATTATGATCAGAATCTTGACCAGGGACAATGATTCTAGTACCCTTCAGAGATGCGGACTTCACAAAATCCAATCCATCGCCGGCAGTGAGGGAGTTCTTGTTTATGATCTGGTATATTTCTGTCAGAATGGTCATAAATGCGCTTTCAACATTAGTCTTCTCGAGTGCTGAGGTCTCCATAAAGTATAAATTCTCTCTTTCAGCGAACTCTTGGGCATCTTCTGTCGGAACTGCTCGAAGTGTTCCTAAATCGCACTTGTTGCCAATCAGCATTACAACAATGTTCTTATCAGCATGTCCCCTGAGTTCCTCAAGCCACCTAGCCATGTGGTCAAAGGATTGGCGTTTTGTCATGTCATAGACCAACATTGCACCGACTGCACCTCGGTAATAGGCACTTGTTACTGCTCTGTACCTGAAACATACAATTTTTCTAAGGCCCGACAAAATCAAATGTTAAATAAATCTAAAATTCACAGTGAAAGCACAAATTCCATCTTGCATTGTCTGTGCTCGATTGTCCATCAATTAGAAGTAGCATTTAGATGTACACTACTGTACTAACCAATCAACAGTGGCTCCGCTCCAATTGATCTACATCACCCAGAAAACATAAATAACATTCCCAAGTTATTAGCAGTGCATAATTGCACATAATGTTAAATCAGGATAGATCATGGATCCAGCAAAGTCAATAATTAACAGACCATGAAACTTCATAAACACGTGATGCCTTTTTATGCACATCAGTGCCAGGATTATCTTAATCTGCTAAGCCATCAGACATTTCTTATTGATTTCAGGTCTTTTAAGATATTTGTAACATACACAAACACAATCATGAATGTTAATTGTAGCAAAAAGAAAGCCTCTTGCAAAATAATCTTCCATGGATTGAGACTCACGTAAGTAATTTCTTCCATATTCCCAATCATACATGACCTTCGCTGAGTGGAGAATTAATTATAATCTGGGGCAGCCAAACACAAAGGAAGACAGTGAATTCTCCCATTAAGCAAACACATTTTCTATTTTGTTGCTTAAATTATATCAATTAATTAACTGGAAAAGTAAAACACTTATTGTTATTGGGATAAGACTAATTGGATTGTTTATTTCTAATCTTAAAATTCATGCATGTTTAGTCATCTACTAAATTATCATACACGACAATTGATCAAAGAGCTCTTGAGTGTTATTCTCCAGTTTGAACATTGGAAAGTATTGAGTAGTGAATGCAGGTTATCGTCTTTCTTAGAATAAAATAGTTTCAGCATTACTAACTACACCTTTATATGATGCAAACTGAATGGAGAACAAAGGGTTCATGTAATTGACTGTGCCTTACTCCATTCTTCGTTACTTGTACATCATAGTTTATCTATCTAATCTTATATCTAACCTAAAAGGGTCTCTCTTGTAATAGAGAAAAACTTCAAATTACTATTGAGAGAATATAGGGTGGCGGCGAGATTCAAGAAAGGAAGACAGGAGTAATGCACTGCCCTGTTTCGTATTCAACATCCAACTGCATCATAAAATAATAGATCATATTGAAAAGAACAACTTCTTCTAATGTAGTCTAATCCCTTTATTAGAAGCAACACACCACTACATTCTTGGAATCAGAATTTCTGGCATATGAATTCTTGTTAACTGTAAATAATTTAAAGTTACAACAAATTCTTCACCAGCTAATTAGCTCTATAACTAAACATCTTTGGACTAGAAGTAAAACTAGAATGAAAATGGCATCGAAAAATGATAATAATTAGTATAATAACAAATTCCAGAAAGCTAATTAATAAGAAGGTCAAATGATTAAGTTATTTAAGAAGAAGAGGCAGGAAAGGAACAAACCTCTCTTGGCCTGCCGTGTCCCAAATCTGGGCCTTGACCGTTTTGTTATCAATAGCAAGAGTCTTTGTCTGGAATTCAACCCCAATGGTAGCCTTCGATTCCAAATTGAATTCATTCCTTGCAAACCTAGCCAGCAATTGGGATTTCCCCACTGCCGAATCTCCAATCAATACAATCTTAAATACATAATCAATCTTCTGATTAAAATCCCCATATAAATTAGACATTGCCACCACCCTCTAAATCAAATGCTGTAATACACCTCTTTTCAATGAATCCTTCAAATATTCTGATTTTCAGCACATAAACCTTGGAATATCCGAACTTTCTTGCGTTTCAATGGATCGAGTGGAAATAAAATGACGTCAGAATTTCATGCATAACAGATAATGAGGAGGGGGAAAAAAAAACAAGGGTAGGGTAGGGTGAGATTTCACGTAGAAAAGGGGATGAGGATGAGAATTAGGGTTGTTTTAGGTTATCAATGTGAAGATTTGTTCATGGTAATGTTGGAATTGGAAATTTTGCAAAGAAGAGCATGAAGAAGGATCAACGGCAAGTGCGGGACCCATTAACCGTTTTTGTGCTCAAAGTACCCCAAATTAAAATGTTAAATAATTTTTATTCCAATTTAAGGTAACATCAAACCAATCTTTATTTATTTTTTATTTGTATTTCATGCCATCTTTTGAAAACAATCCTCCATTGACTTTGCCTGATCTCAATTCCTCGTTTTTGACATGCCACTCATAAGGTTGACTGTCATGGAACGATTTAGCGGGACCTTTCCTCGTTTTGCCAACTGGCCTATGCAGAAGCCATTATAGTAAATGCTATTTGGTTATTGTCTTGAGGGCCAATTTTCGTCTAGCCCACGAAACTTTTGCACACCTCTGTTATCTTTTGGAAGGCTTAAACCTCATAAAAAATGTCTACCTGAGAATATTCAAATCGCAATAAGTCAGTCAAGTGCGGAATGAATGTTTATGGCAAGCATGCTTGGCCACCGAAGAACTTAGTGTTGATGAACAAGTGATTGTATTACTTTTGGTTATGACGAATATGCTTAATTAATTCTTTACTTTTTGCGACCTCAGAGTTTTCCGAAGTTGTATTAGATGAAGGAGCCATGCTTGATCATGATCATTATTTCTCATTTTCTAATTCGATATATCCCTTAAGTTTTGGAATCTATCATGTCTTAGGTTGAGTGAGCAAATGAACTTGGATTCTTGTGTTGTCTAGGTTTTAAGTTTCTTTTCATGGTTCACCAGTTCATCGCTCCTCAACTTCATAAAACTTGCATAATTCATCACGAGTTCGTATTTTTTGTAGCCTTAGTTGGGTTGCGATAACAAGTTAGACATTTTTCATTTGAAAGTCTTATTAGTGCAATTGTGTTATACTGAAAACTTTTATGAAAGGTAAAATTTTAAAAAATGAAAGCTGCGGGACCTATGGAATATGTGATTAAAAACGAATTTAAGGGAAAATGAATTTTAAGAAATGGAGGCCGAATACGAGCAAATAATCTTCGTGTCTAGTCGATGCTTGATGTACTATCTTCAACATAAAATATGATATGATAATAGAAACAGAGAATGGAAGTAGATAAGATTCATTTAGGGACAAGCAGACACAAAGGTCATCCAGGATGTTGAAAGGTGTAAATGGTATTAGATTATGTATTCCAAACATCTACATCTTGGAACTTGGAAGGCCAATTTAATCAAAAAAAAAAAATCTTGGTATGCTTCAACAACAAAACCATATCCAAATTATCATATCTTTACCTAAAAAGGAAAATACTGCATATAAGAAGAAATGTACAATTGGCATATATGTTCTTTCAGTTCTTCCTAAATATATTTGTAGACTCCATTGGCCTACAGTTACTAACATCTTATACTATATTCTACATTAAGCAAAACAATTTCGGAAAAAATCAGAGTTTCTCCTCCATATTCTCCGGTTTTAGGGCAGAAAATCGATTTTGCACTTGTGTTCTCCCCCTTCACCTTTATTTTGAGACAGTAGCTAATGACGTGTTTGATTTGGAACGGACTTCTGGGAGGCTGAGCATTTGCAGTTTGCTCGATTATCGCTAAGTGTCTACAAAAGTAGATAAATGTGTAAAGGAACTAAAAATTTGAATGTAACTACCATAAATTGCTTTATATTTGCTGGATTAATACCTTGTACTGTTTCTGGAGGTTCTTAATATAATCGACCGCGAAATCTAACATGTCTGCTGTGTTCGTTTGCTGCCAAACGAAACAGATAATTTCTGAAATTCTAAATGGTTAATAGAGTAATAACAGCATCCATCTTAGAAATGCCTACCTTGTCCATGTTCGGGACAAGCTCCTGCAGCTTCCTCATTCTTTCGCTGATTCGTGTTCTTCTTACCTGCGTTAAACCGTCAAATTATCCGAGATAGATCTTTAATGTTGTCATCTCATTCTTCTATATCATCATTACAATTCTCATTAAAAATATTAACATGTAAAGAGCAACTAAAAGGAATTTTACCCTTTCAGCGATACTTCGTGGATGAGTGGCACAACCTCGTTTCGCACGGATTTTACAGGGAACAGTGTCTTGGAGCTGCAGAAATTTCTCGACAGCAGCCATTTCAGCCGAAGTTTTCGGTAAACTTATATGGTGAGACAGAAAATGTGGCCTACTTCCGAACTCCGCATTCTGTTTACATACAAGCATTACAGATTCATCAAATCTAAAGGAATCGAACTTAAGGAGGTGTCCTCAACTGAGATTTTGATGGATTTAAAAAATTCGTAAAAATTTGGATGGATTTAAGCTTAAAAATACATATAAAAAACTCTTTTCAAATTTCACTATTTTTTAATGAGATTATTATGGATTTTGTAGAAATGTATTAGAATCCATGAAATTCATTGAAATTTATAATCTTTTAGAACTATCAAAATCTCAGTTAAGGACACCAGCAACTAACTGACAATTCCAAAATGATACCTCATTATTCACAAAAGCCTTCCCATCATTATCGAACTCCCTTTTAATTCCATTGAAGTTTTCTCCAAAATTCGTAGAATCGTTCCAAGAACCAAATGGGAATCCAGTACCATAAGATGAATTAACATAGTTGCTATTTCCGACCTTCGTATCATCAAGGCCACTAGCTCCACCACTTTCGTTCTCGACTTCTGTGATTCGAGACAACATTCCTAAGGAGGAGAAGCTCATATGATTCTTGAATGTGCTCGAAGATGGACTTGGATCAACATTAGCACTAGCTCTGTAACTCCCAATACCTCTCGCCGTGGCATAGCCTGCAAATTGCTGATGATACTTCAGAGGAAAGACAACTTCACCAATTCCATATTTAGCATAAATTCTTGCTATAAAATGTAAAATAAGGTAAATAAGTGAGGAATATGGTTTTTTAGCCCTTTCTCCTCCAATGAACCAAAATGAAAACTTCTCTCCCCTGTTTCCCATTTTACTTCTCTATGATACAAACATAAATAACTTTATTGGAGTTCAATATAAGTGCATCTTTGATACACAATATTAGATCGTTCTGACAGTGGACAAAATTTTAAATTTTTCTGATCAATAAATGATGGAAAATCTTCACTGATTAGAGAATATAGCCCTCAAAATAAATCGGTAATTAAAAAAGTGTACCATTTTGTGCTGTGTGGTGAGAGAAGAGTTCGGCAGGGGAACTGTTTTGTCTCGTAAGACTGGAACCCATTTTTCCTTGTCCCTGATGATCCATTCTCGTTAAACCCGAAACTCTATATCCGCCACCATCCACATGGACACCACTTTGCCGTGGATACTGCGGCGGCAACTGTGAAAATTCATTAGCAGCAGCCTTTTCACCACCACAATCAAACATTGAAGTCAATCCTTGAGTTTCAACTCCATCATTAAAATTAGCAAACAAGGAACTGGGAGCTGACCTAAACCTCGCCAACCCAGAAATGTTTTGATGGCTATAATTTGTGTTTGTTTCAGAATCCATGAATAGAACCTGCTGCAGCTGCTGTTCTTTAGGCCTCAAATTCGATGGAATTATAGGCCCCGAATCAGAAGATAATGCATGGGAATCACCATACATTCCTTCGCCTTATCCCCAGAAAAATTCTCAGGTCTTTATCAAGAAGAAACTGCTTGTTTCTTAAGCTGTTGGAAGCGAAATCTTGTACTTGAAGCAACTAGATCTATGCTATTCTTGGGTTTTGTTTTTGCCAAAAATCAAATGGAATTCTTGGTTTTCCCCGTAACACAGTCGGTGCCGGTTCAGTGACTCACGGCTAGGGGTGAGATTTAAACCTGCAGGTTTTTCTCACTTTCTTCTTTGAGAAATGGGTTTAATTTTGAGATAATAAAGTATTGTCCAAAAGTTGCCATTATTGGACTTTTCATAAAAAATAATATAAATTAATAAATGTGCGCAGTTTGGTAGTTACTTTCTCTGTTGAGTTAGATAATACAGATGAAAGAAATTATTCTTATCCTTCAGGCCTTTGCAACATTTTTGTATAAGAAAAAAATGATTGCACAACTGAATCTTATTTCATTTTTAAAGGACACACGTTGCTGTGTATTTTTCTCTTGGACTATGTATAGTAGTGTGGAGTTTTGATTCTTAAGACATGAAATTGGACTCATTGTAGGCGTAGTGTACATACAACTCTTGTTCCCTAGCCTGTAAGGACACATCTCGCAATTTATCTCCCTCGCAAGCCTGAAGAGCGGGACGATGGGGCCCTTAATGTCGGGGTTCAACCTTTTAATTCTGCACTGATTATCCTTTGTAAAGTTGGCACAACTTTCAACTTTGATTTGCACAACTGAATCTTATTTCATTTTTAAAGGACACACGTTGCTGTGTATTTTTCTCTTGGACTATGTATAGTAGTGTGGAGTTTCGATTCTTAAGACATGAAATTGGACTCATTGTAGGCGTAGTGTACATACAACTCTTGTTCCCTAGCCTGTAAGGACACATCCCGCGATTTATCTCCCTCGCAAGCCTGAAGAGCGGGACGATGGGGCCCTTAATGTCGGGGTTCAACCTTTTAATTCTGCACTGATTATCCTTTGTAAAGTTGGCACAACTTTCAACTTTGATTTAATAAAATAAAATAAAATAAAATAAAAGTCATTTTAATTAAAATAAAAAAAAAAACGGGGGAAAATGGGGAAAAAAATAAAAAAAATTGTCCTTAGTTTGGATATGACAGAAGAGTCAGCGGCTACAGATTGAGCATCAGATTCGCAAACAACACAGCATTAGTCCCCCACATGCGCCATCAATTAGTAAAGTACCCCCCACATTACATAAGAGGCGATATCGCGTCACCCTTTTTTTCCAAACCATTTTTCACTATTTTTGGCAAAAGGTTCGTTTGTGAGTCTTTTTTTTAATATTTTTTAATACTTCCATACATCGTGTGCCACATTGCCAATTTAGAATGGTATAATAAATAAGATAGAAACTATTAAAAAATCCATTATATCAGATACATGCGGGATCCGGCCCGAAATAAGATAAGAATTCGCCGCCTAGTTCAAGTAAATGGAATGGGGAACGGATGAGGGTCGTTACCTCGAAATGGGGCGGGACAAGTTCGGAGAACATTGTCCTCGTTCTATTACCAACCTCGTTTAAAGTTCATTTAAAAATATAAATTTTTATCATACAAAAAGAAAATAATCATCATCATTTATAGAGAAACATGAATTTTTTTACAATTAAAAAAAAAAAGTAATGATTTTCATCAACTAAAAATATTAAAAATAAAAGCAAGAAAAGGTAAAATAAATAAATAAATAAGGAGGGAAAAGAGAAGGAGCCGTACCACGCCCCGTCTGCCTTAATTAGGTATAGGGCAGGATAAAGAAACAAAAATACTTAACAGACACGGGAATGGGAATGACCGTTCTAAGCCACCAAATTGTATCCCTAAAATAAAATTTTAATTTATTTTTTTATGTAGTCAGGTCATCCTGGCTAAATATGTAAAATTGTTGCGTAATTGATAATAAAAAATTACATAATTGAAGTAAGAGATCACAATTCATGTTTGTACAAGGCCATATTCTACTGTTCAAATGCACCAAAAAAATTTAAAAAATGATTGTAATTCAATTGGGAAAAAATAAATAAAAAAATTAAATTAGGGAATATAAAGAGAATATTTTGATTTCTCACCTTTAATTGTCGTGTCTTTTCATGTTATAAAATTTGAATAGCATATAATCTTCAAATGAAAGTGTGGAACCATCAGAATGACGTACTATGGCTAAAAAGTTAAGTATGATTCTCAGTATATTAGGGGTCTATTTGGGAGCGATTTTTCCTTCCAAAAAATTGATTTTTTGACCGTTATTTCACTATTCCGACCGTCATATTTGATTTATTCTCTCACAGGTGGATCCCACTTTTCCCATAACGGTCACAAAATCAATTCTCAAAATCACTCCCAAGTAGGCTCTAGAATTTGATCATGTAACTACCTTTGCATGATATTTGAAATTTGTATGATAAAATTTTATACATTTTTCACCAATCTATCATGATGGACCATAAGAAGTATAGACGAAATTTACAAAGAGAATAAAATAAAGAACAAGAACGAGAACGAGAAAGAGAAAGAGAACAAGAATATGAATATGAATACTGTGATTATAGAATCAATTCATTTAAGATTTAAGGTTTAAGAGAATATATGGGAAAAGTATGGAGAATTGTGGAAGAATTTGATTGTTCTCTAAACATAAGTCCGTAGTTTAATAATGTCTAAATTGACATATAAACATAAATATCTCAATGTCCTCATCCCTTTTTCCTCTTGTTTTCTCTATCGGATAAAATGATATATTTTAAAAAATATATATATATTCAAGATCTTTAATCATATAATAGGGGTGGCAAAATTCGGAGCAATAATTTAAAAAATAGTTTTTGACAATTTGAAAAATGGATGTACGTGATAATGTTTACAAGTGTTGTGACATGTGATTGTACAGATAGCATGATTGTTTCGGCATATATTTATAGGAGATAGAGAAAATTCCAAGGGCACATGTAATATTTGCATTAGGACATAATAATAATAATAATAATAATAATAATAATAATAATAATAATAATAATAATAATAATAATAATAATAATTGTCGATTAAAGCGTTGTGTGTGAATTTTTTATTTTTCAAAAGTTGAATTATGCATGAGATATTTCATATTTGTTAAATTTATGGAAAGAAATATATTTAATGTTAATGAAACTTATCAACATATCGAACTATAACAATTGTATTAAGATTTTAATTAATTGTTCCACGATTCACCATCCTTCTTCCCTATGGAAAATAGCACATGTAGCAAAGCTACGTAGTCAGTTATCGACAAACAGAGACTCGTAGAGCAATTAAAATGAAAAGTCGAGTATAGTAACCAATTTGTTGTAAGAGAAACTATTGAGGACCAGTTGTGCAATTTCCTCATTCTCCATTCCTTTCAAGTTTAACTAGGCCCTGAACAAAATTTGTGCTTTTGGCCGAGATAAAGTTAGAGTGGTCCCTATGATGAACAAGAATAAATAAATAGAAAAGTTAATTTTGGGAATAGTCAATCTACCTTTAAATTGAATTAGATTGTGAAAGGTGCAATTAAGTGGATTCACATTTAATACTAAATAATAGCCTGTTTGACGATCATTATTGTGGGAAAAAAGTTTCGAATAGCGATTTTTTGGACAATGTGCGATTAAGAAGTAGGGAAAATTTTTTGGTATAAGCATATAATATTTTTGGTAGAAGTATAAAATACTTTATTGTGTGAATACGTGGTTGAAAATGACCTTACAACAAATTATAAAATAAATTGTGGCTCTGTTTGATACAACAAATTTTCCATGAAAAATGAAAAAAATTTCCACATTTTTTTCCTTGTTTGATTTGTATAATTTTCTTGGCAAAATATTTTCCCTCCCCCCGCGCCCCAAGTGACTAGGTTTTCCTTGATTTGGTCCCAAATCAATTTCCAGTTTTTTTTTTTAAATTCTTTTGGGTAATGGAACAAATTCTATCACAATTGTAACAAATTTTATTCTTTTAATTGACAATTTTTATGAAAAATATAGCCAAACAAACACCAAAAGATAAAAAATTTCAACATTTTTCAGGTGAAAAATTATACCAATCAAACACATTTAATTAACAATTCTCTGTAAAAACAAGTTTTAGGCAATTTAATTCATTGAAATTCATTTTCTTTCTATCTAAATTTCATTCTTGCACTTAAACGGATATTGATGATTGTCAAAAAGATACTAAATTAGATGGTGTTTGCGTGGAGGGAAACATAGACACGTGAGTGCACATTTGATTCGATGCCTTTGGCTCTAACTGCCATACTTTTTTAAAGGCGGTGTTTGGTACAAGTAGGTGGGAGGAAAATGGTGAATGTGGAGGTGATATGCCCCATTTGGCAAGGTTTTGTGCTTCCATTTTTTTAGAAGAGTTTCTTGAGGAATTCATCGCAAATGATTGTACATGTATATTTTTTTAAAGTTCTTGTAATGAAATAAAATATTTTTAGAAATTATTTAAATATGTTTAACAATATTTTCTCAATCTCAGAAATAATTTTTAACTTTTCAAAAAACTTATCAAACCGGCGAAAAGTCGAGATTTTGGGTTTTAGCTTGTAGGCACGTTAGGGAGAATAATTAGTTATTCGGACAATAGGTTAAGAATAATTTTGGGCTTTGACTTGTAATACGATAGGGAGAGTTTATTCAAATAATAAGTTTAAAATCGATAGTACAATTTTCTTATCTAAGAGTAGAAGGAAGAGGAGAAAATAAAGATGTAAACTGAAACTCAATTCCAAAGTGAATAGCAGCCACGATCAGGAGCGAATTCAAGATTTTTTTTTTTTTGGTCGTTGGGGGAGGATTTTCAGGTCATTTTATAAAGTAAATAAAATAATTGGTAGTCATATTGTCAACACAACTTTTTATTGATACACAACATTTTAATTGTAATTGAACTCTTCAATTTTTGCACATTGTAGCAGTTATTTCTAGCCTTTTTTGGTAAATCCTTATCTTCAAACTTCCATAATACATCTCATTCTCGATAATGATTTATCTCAAAATATTTTGTTTTCATACTTTAAAATGAGAGACAAATATTTTTTTACACTTTTATTTATTTACATTTCTTAAAAATATAATGAGAAAATAAGTAGCTTCACACAATTTCAACGAATTTTTGGATAAAAACTATTATCAAATACAAAATATATTAACTAATGGAAGTTTGAGGATAAGAATGATATGAAAAATCATTAGGAGTA